AAGGAGGGAGGCAGTTGACAAAAGTGGTCTGGTGCTCACTCCGAGTTTGAAGAATGATCAGAGTAGGACTAGGATTGTTTGGGGTTGGGTTTCCTGGGAAACAGTCCCTGAGATGGAGGTTTACGTGCACGTGGTTTCCTTGGGAGTCCTCTTAGGAATAACACCCACAAAGGGGTGAGAGTAGCCAATCGGGTAGAGGGAGAAGCAAGGCCCACAGTGCAGCTGTGACAGAGGCCACAGCCAAACCCGCAGGACTGACGGCATGACATCCTGGATTGAGGCTAGGAGAGTTACAGTGGCCCCTGCCCCTGGCCAGTGTCCTATGGAAATGGTTCTCTGCCTGGTCAGTGTTGGGATAGAGGGGGGCAGGCTGGGCCCAGTCTGTCTAGGAGTGTCACGTAAGGAACACATGTCACGGGGAGGGGGCTCCTGCAGGAAGAAAGGACTGTGAACTGGGGATCGGGGAGGTGATGGAGGGTGAAGGAAAGAGAAGATTCCTAAATACAGTCAGCAAACCGAGTAGTGCCTTGGAAGTCGGAGTCCTGGGCCTAAGATCGCTGCTCCGATGCTCAGAGCCTGGGCTTTGTGCCCCACTGACCCCAAGGTAGTGTGGAACCATGAACCCTGGAGACTCAGGGATGCAGGAAAGGGCATCATCGCAGGAGCGAGACAGGCGCTTCCTGGGGAGGCTGGCTGGGCAGCCACTTCCACACGAGGATGTGGAGAGCGCCAGTCACGTGTGGTCCGCGGCCAGGTGGGGTCAGGCGCCAGGGTGGGACTCATATCAACCCAGCTGACCCCGCCGCTGTACAAGGCCAAAGGCTGCCTGCTTAGTGGAGACATAACTGCAAATCTCAGGGTGGTTATGTGCCCGGCCCCCTGTATTCCCCTCCTGTAGGCCTTGAGACGGGCTTTTCACCTGGGATAGGTTCTGGCAGACTCTCTCCCTCCAGTCAAGAGATTCTCCGTAGGTAAATTAGCACTGAACATCAGAATACAATTAAGTCTTATTATTTCCAGGCGATTCTGCCTTCCAAGGGGACTTCCGCAGAGCACCGCCCCTCCGCCCACCGGCTCCCGGCATCCGGGGGTGTTTCCTATCCTAACAGCGTGCCACCTGCCTGACCCGCTTCAGGTGCTCGCCAGCTGGTGGCTCTGTGCAGCTCCGAGGGTTGGGGAACCCTCGAGCACAGGGAACGGGATCATTTGCCTTGTTCAATCCCCTCATCCTTTAGAGAAGCTGAGGCCCGGCTAGCCTGTGACGCTCGGGAAGCCGCAGAGGAGCTAGTTAGGCCCGGGGCCCCCTTGCAGGGACGGGTGAGTCCTGGACCGAGCAGTGTCAGCATGTCGCTTCTCCGTGTCTCCCCCCCAGGTGACAGCCTGCTGATGGTGAAGAACCCGCCCCCGGCCC